AATTCAAACCTTGAAGCTACAAGATACAAAACATTTGTTTTTCCCTCTCATCACCCGCCTTTTTTTAGAATGTTCTCGACTTGAAAAAAAGCCTTGTCCTTGGATATCTGTACTTTTTGTAACTCTTTCTCATAAAAAGTCCTCTTGATCTCTTCTCCATCATAATCTTTTGAGTTTGTAAACAGGTGGCTGTCGAGGTAAGCCTTCAGACACCGTAAATAATTCGTCCGTATAACTCTGCTCATATTTTTTATCGAATACTCCTCTCAATTTGGATATCCTTACAAGCTCCCCCTCCTTAAAGTTCATTTTGACAGCAGCTTTTTTACGAAGGCTGGAGGGGTTATATAGATTCCGAAACACTTGAGCCGCATTCTCCTTGGTTACCTGCAGTGGCGTCATTTTAATACTTCAGTGATAACTATTATTGTAACTTTCAAGTAGTTCAGGTAAGACGTCTATATATCTATGAGTGTTTTTAGCTGTAAAATACCTCCACATTTTAGTTTTCAGCGTACGATTAAATCTCTCTATCACACATGCCTTCATATCACTGGCGGTTGCATAATGTTGTATACCTCGTTTCTTCATTAAGTTTTGAAAAACTTTGTTAAAGAATTCTTTCCCCGCGTCTGTTTGTATCTTTTTAGGAATCTCACTGTGTGTTAAAATTGTATCAAAGGCTTGGGCAACCTCAATACCCGTCTTCTTCTTTAATGCCTGAGCATAGGCTTTTTTTCGAAAATACATCTACGACTGTTAACAAATAATTAAAACCATCATTATATTCGGACAGCGACTGCATATCGCAGAGATCTGCTTGAAATTGCTGCAGCGGTCTGAGTACGAAAACTCTGTTTCTTACAAAATGCACCCGAGCCGGCTTATGTAAAGTATATGCATCCTGCTCAGATAAATATTCCCTGACTTTCTCTACATTTACTTGTTTACCCATTTCATTCTGTACAGCTCTATGGAGTTTATCCACACCTCCTAAACTCCCTGGATTAGAAGGAGTGTAATACACCTTTTGCATGACACGTTTCTCAGACATGTTCCCTGTTACAGCCCGATGAGGTAATGAGTACAACAGTTTTTCTTACAAAGCATTTTATTGATATGTCACACATGTATACAAAACATGTTAAAAGAAGTAAAAATATAAAACATACTTTAACGAAAAAGTATCAAATTTGTTTTTCCTATTGCTGCCAAAAGACCCAAGCTGCTCTTATAGTCTTCAGACGGGTCTCGTCGTTATCTACCAGCTGGTCGAAAATCTTCTTCATTTTAGCCTCAAAGTGTCTGGTGTTTCTGAGATTGTGCAGAATCGCCTCGGTAGCTCCAAAGACTCTCCTCTCCGACACATGAAGCTGGCTCTGGTGTAAAGCGTCCCGAATGGCTGGAATGAAACGAACGGTCCACAGTCTCTTTATCACATCGTCATAATTTATATCCAGAAAGTAATCTTGGGTCGGAAACAAACACTCGTGCTGCCTCTGACTGGGGTGAGCGATTCGACATCCGTTACATGTTTACAGTTGCACGACCCTATCCAGCAGATGAGCTACAACAGCTTTTACCGTATTCAGGAACAAAGCTGTCCTTTCACGTTCTGTAGCATGAACCTCTGGAACACAAGTATAGCATGGCACATCAACGCCTACTACTGTTGATTCCCCTGGAGACTCGGATGGAGGTTGATGCATATCCAGCCACCCCGTGATATCAATATCAGCCATATAGCTGTCGAGATCTGGTGTCCAGATTGTTGGAGAGGATGGAGGTCCTACAGGCGTTTTCTCCAGGCTGCAGCTCGCGGTGAGAGAGTTGTTTTCTTCGAGATCCATGGTTGCTGCTCACAAAATATCCTTGAGGTGTTCTCATTTTTAAATGATCTGGCGAGGAAAAGGCGGGGCTTGTTATGTTAAGGGGAGGCGGAGCCCTCTGTAAAAAAAAAAGAAAGTCTTTTGCAGTCAAACTGGGGAAAATCTGTCACTTCCTCACAGAGCCCCTCCTCCAACACACATGAACGCGCATGACCAAAAGGGGGCGCGAGATAAGTTTGTGCACAGAGACCCCCGCATTGCTGCTGATGCATTCGTTTGACTGACGCTCAGGACGGATGCGGTAAACTGACTGATTAACCCCATTCGAGGCTTCTCTTGGCCATTTTTCTTTTTGAAAAGGTGAATGGAATTGCTGTCTTTTTAATTAGTTTGAGCATATTTCTAATTCCACCACCCCCCACTATCTGCCTGCGTCATAGCCCGGAAGGGGGGAGAGGCTAGGAGGGGGCTGGTAGACAGTCTCACCTCACTTCAAGAGACACCTAAATTAACATCAGAGGCTTACAACACCTCATAGATTAGACTTCATAATTATACAACTCTGAGGGGGCAGGGGGCCAGACAGCATAAAGAGACTTAATCATCTCCTAAATTAACATCAGAGGCTTATAACACACCAGTGTGAAGTCACACCGGTGTGTTATAACACCTCCCGTCAAAGGACTAGACTTCATAATTAGATTATACAACTCTGAGGGGACAAGGGGCCAGACAACACAAAGAGACTTAATCAACACATCAAAGAATTAGACAACAAAGGCGCTAGCCCGGGGCTTTTCACATGACACAAAAGGATCTCTAACAAAGGCACTACACAGGGGGGCATTTCACACCTACGTGTGATGTACCTCACCCCTCACATCAAAGGATCTCACACCTACGTGTGAATTCACACCTAGGTGTGACATCCACCTCGAACAATGGGAGGCGGGACTTAGCTCATTAACATAAGTAGGGAGAGGTGTGACCTGTCACACCACCTGTCACTTTTCTTGCATACTAATGTGATTGAAGTGGCATTGTTACTACTACTAAAGTGACACATTTTTGGTCACATCTCAGCTCTTGCACCTCTAAATTCCTTCTGTCGCCTCAAAGCATGACTGTACTGGATCCCCAGAATAAGAGGGAGGATGATGAAGCAAATCAAACACCTTGTGTAAAGAATAATACGGTGGCCCTGAAGTGCAAGACACCACAGCATTTCACAAAACGCCACAGCATTTCACATTGGACGGAAAGGGTATTCCTTAGGGAGAACACTTCTTGTTTGTGATTGGACAGAGCCAGCCATAGAAGCACTACTGTGATTGGTTGTTTTTGCTGCCAGTCAAGAAATTACGCTTCGTGATTGGCCCAACACATCAGCCGTTAGCTGTTAGCACACACTCAGAGCTCACAGCTCCTCATATCTGTTCAGAAACTGGACAAAAGTTAAACATATACAAAACACAGACTGTCTATGTCATGGCAAATACAGTCGCTGCTTTATTTATGTCTGTATGACGTTGTTGTGAGTGTGGACGGAGCAGCTACAGGTTCGTTTAGCCTGATCGATCCGATTCCGATAGGATTTACTTGGAGATACGGCCCGCCCCCTCTCCAGCGTCTTGTTTGAATGACAGGAGTAAACACAGAATTAATACTTTATTAATTCATGGTTTTTAAGGGGCTTATCTCCATGTAAATACTACGGTAGACTACCCAATATTCGCATCGCTCTAATCGCTCGAGTTTCACCGCGGCTGTCAGCTGTGTTTGCTCCGTTTGCTCCTGTCATTCAAACAAGAGGCGCTGGAGAGGGGGCGGGGCGTATCTCCATGTAAATCCTATGGAAGATACCAACTACAACAAAATGAACATATTTGACCGTAATTTAATTGTAATACACGTTTCAAAGTGATGCCGAAGCAACTACATACTGATAACGGTTAGTAAAACTCATGAATTAACGCTTTAACAAGTCTGCAAACAAGACGGCAAGCGAAAAGCTTTTAAAATTCTTTCATACACACATACGGGTATTGGGCCGAGGGCGACACCGTACTTCCGGTATCCGCCGTTTTACGCGAGGTGCAAGCAGGCCAAGGGTTTAGCCGTACACCGTCTAGGTGTTGCTAAGCTTCCTGTACTGAATATCATAGTCTATTGCCTTAATCAATATCTAGTCAACTCTAAAATACCACATATATGCAATGGCATGATAATATTATTGTGACAAGTGGGGTATTCACCTGGTGTTTCCAGAAATTAGACTTCGAGGATCGTTTTTCCATACATCTGCAGGCAGTCTGTAAGGGCAATCCAACAACCCACACAGCTCTAGTTTACGCTGGTAACGACCTAGAGCACACCCTTCAAGTCCAGAGATGTAATCCGAAGACATGCAGTGATTTCTTCGGTCGTTAATTCAGAAAAAAAACATAGTGCGCTCTGCCTGGCAACGTTAGCTAGCTGTTTATATTTGCACCTCCAGGATATTTGCACCTCCAGGAAAATGGCGTATTTATATATAGATATATTGCATTGTGGGTAGCTCGTGACGTCACTGTGTGTGAAAGAATACTTTAAAATGCGTGTTTTCTGAACGGAATCGGATCCATCAGGCTAAACTAACCTGTTGCTGCTCCGTCCACACTCACAACAACGTCATACAGACATAAATAAAGCAGCGACTGTGTTCACCATGACATAGACAGTCTGTGGTTTTTACATGTTTAACTTTTGTCCAGTTTCTGAACAGATATGAGGAGCTGTGAGCTCTGAGTATGTGCTAACGGCTGATGTGTTGGGACATATTTCGCTGTGGGGTGTTGACCAATCACGAAGTGTCATTTCTTGACTGGCAGCAAAACCAACTAATCACAGCAGTGCTTCTATGGCTGGCTCTGTCCAATCACAAACATGAAGTGTTCTCCCTAAGGAATACCCTTTGCGTCCAATGTGAAATGCTGTGGCGTTTTGTGAAATGCTGTTGTGTTTTGTGAAATGCTGTGGCGTTTTGTGAAATGCTGTGGCGTTTTGTGAAATGCTGTGGCGTTTTGTGAAATGCTGTGGTGTTTTGTGAAATGCTGTGGTGTCTTGCACTTCAGGGCCACGGTAGAATAATCATGTAGAAGCAATTAAGTAAATAAAGTTTATTGATGCAAAACAAAGCTTACTCTTTTTTTAAATACACCTAGATTAAAGCCATATGATGCCTTTTCTTTCAATGATTTGCTATTATATTAACTGTACAAAATACTGTCTGATAAATGGAGAGCAAAGCTGCAAATAAGGTTTAATTAACAAAGGTTTAGTTTTTTATGTTGTTTCCATTCCTCTTGTCCTTACAGAAGACATTGTTTGATCTGGAAGAAAACCAAAGAAGAAAGAGATTACACTTTTTAAAGAATGTGGGTGTTTCATGACATATTAATCCCATTTAAAACATATTTAACAATATATGAAATATATAAAGTGATTGATCTAAATACTTACATGATGTTACGCTGCATTTTTACCAAGAGCTGTTCCTGGTTTGAGTTCAGAATAAACAGTTTCATCCGCTGGTGCAGGACTTGACTTCCCTATGAATTAAGAGATTATTATTATTTATTTCCTTACAGTATTCCCCCAGTTAAAAATGAAAATGTACTGGTATACATTTTCCTCCCAAGAGGGTAGAGTGATAGTTTGATAGAAGAAATTGCTCATGATGATTCACAACAGTTAAACATGTACGGATACAGATGAATGAAATGTCATATGCCCTGATGTTTATTTCATGAATGCATAGAATTGGAAGATAATTAAATAAACAAACAAAGTTTTGTGTAGGGTTTCAACATTGCTGACTTTTGCGACACCTTGTGACACATTTTAAAATGACCCCCTATCAGGCAGCACGTAACCATAACAACAAATTAAAGCGAGTAGTATTTCATCAGACCTGCAGCTGATGCCATCTGCACATGTGAGTAAACGCAATCCTCCGGTTCATTTTTCTTCCCTGTTAGACGGATCAGGAGTAAGCAAGCAAAACTTATTGCATGTTTTTGTTACAACATAAATTAAAAATACTCACCCTTCTTAGAAATGTTTTTGAGCTTGACCACAGAATATGTGACATCCCTGGATTCATCTGAAATATACAATTTCAACGGATCAAGAGAAAGCATGAAAAGACAAAACTTTACTTAATATAGGCACTGCTGGCCTACAAAAGCACCTTAAATATTATATGTTATTACGACATAGAAATTAAATACACCCTAGAACAGTGGTTCCCAACCTGGGGGGCGCGCCCCCCTTGGGGGGGGAACAAAGGTCGCAGGGGGCCAGGCCTCAGATTATTTGAGGCCAAATATCATATTTAGATTTTTAATTTTTTTTACATATAATTGTAACTCAATACATGATTGTCACTAAAAGCCTTGTCTATACATTACAATAAAATATAAAAAATAATTGATTAATTAATTTGAATACAAATTCAAGTTAGTGGCTATTATAGGCATAAAAAGACAGAAATGTATAATTCTTTCTTTAATAGAAATGTTTCTTCTGCGCGTAAAGTTTCCAAACCGGGCTTGTCTGGATAAGCGCATTTTTAAAAACATAGTCATTGTCCATGCCGGTTTCAGTTGGATTATTTGTCACAGTTGCTCCGATCAGATCGGTCTCCTCCATGTTGTAGATTATTTACGATTTTTGAATCCACATAAACACATCGGCAAAATCTGGCTTACTTTGAGCATGTGTTTTAAACAGTTGAATCCCTTTGTGAATTGTTTCCACTTCCGCGCCGTCCTTTAATTTCTTCATACAGCGGGAATCCAAATGAATTAATCCTGAGTCCAATAACCATCAAAGTCACTCCAATAGTGCTCCTTAATTACGCTTTCATCCTCCTTTAACAAAATACATCACATTGATCCAGTAGTTGTAGCATTTTGAGACTTTGAAACTTTAATTACCGCTGTTGCGCCCCCCCCCCCCCCCCCCCCCCCCCCCCCCCCCCTCTTGTGTGTGTCCTAGAAGGCAGCACTTAACCATAACAAAAACCTTAAAGCGTGTAGTGTTTCATCACACCTGCTGCTGCTGATGCCATCTGCACATCTGAGTAAACACAATCCTCCGGTTCATTTTTCTTCCCTGTTAGACGGATCAGGAGAAAGCATGAAAAGACAAAACTTATTGCATGATTTTGTTACAACATAAATTAAAAATACTCACCCTTCTTAGAAATGTTTTTGAGCTTGACCACAGAATATGTGACATCCCTGGATTCATCTGAAATATACAATTTATTTTATATTTAAAAGAGTGACCCTTGAATTGTCATATTCCAGTATTTATATTTACTATACTGTACCATTTGCAGGTTCTCTAGGGCCTTTGACTGTTGCATAGAGACAGGCATTATCTGAAGAGAAATCAAAACAAATATATATATATATATATATATATATACTGTATATATCGAACGCACTTATTGTAAGTCGCTTTGGATAAAAGCGTCAGCTAAATGCAATGTAATGTAATGTAATATTAAAATCACTCTATATGAACTCCTACATTTTTTAAAACAACTAATGAGAAATGGAAATGCTACTCGGTTAATAACGTTAACAATAAATTAAAAACATATTAAGGATTCAGGCTGACCCTGGAGAACAGAAGCATATTCTCTTTGGTTAGTTTCGTCCTGGTTGATCATGTGGTCTGTAGCAGGGCTCTGATTGGTCCTCTGAGATCTGGTGGGCAAAACACATGTAGTAAATGAAGTGGATTTATGAAAGGAACATATGACTGCTGTCATGTTCATAATAAAACAAAAAAAGATGTGTTGTACCAACCTGCTATAGCATGAATCTGTTAAAAACAAAAATAATACTATATTATTTTGCATTGGGAAAGTGTCCTACTGTCAAAACAGTACATGTGATTACATTAGAGTTAATCTTATTTCAGAAGAAAATAATCTCACCTTTTGACTTCCTGTATAAATACAGGAACAGCAGCAGGAGAATAATCAGTGAAACTCCACAAAGCAGCCCAACGATCAGCAGGACGGGAAATTCAGAGGCTTCTCCGTGCCCGGACGCTGCTATTATAAGTAATCCTTATTAATATTATATCTGTAACACTTTCCTGTAATAGATTAACTTTATAAAACCTTTTTCTCTTACACAAACACAGTTTAATTCAGAAGAAACTAAGCTATCTTTATCTCAGACTGTAACACAGTTTACAAAAAAGGAAGTGTTTTTAAATGATACTCACATTTTACTGAGAACCAACTCTCTGGTGATGTCCAACCATCTGCTGAATCTCTCTGTTTACATTTATAAAAGCCTTCGTCTGACTTTGACACTGCAGAGATGTTCAGCTCCCTTCTGGTATCATTCTGGATGAGTTTGTCATTTTTATAGAAATCCAAATTATATACATGTTCTGTCTTGAACTTGCAGCTAAGAGTGACAGGACGTCCCTCAGCCACAGGATGGACAGGACTCACCAGGATAATTTCACCATCTGAAAACAAATCAAAGAATATAAAGGCTTTGTCAGAGACATCAGCTTTTGAAGATTTAATACGTTTATGTGCAACTGGCCTAGTCTGGCAGAAGCTGAAATGTCAGGTAGATGTAAGAGGACAATAAAAAGCAGAATATTATCTTTGATCATTGAGAGAAGTAACCCTGGAGTTCACTTCGCAAATTGGCATTTTTTATAAAGTTTTACTAATTTGAAGAGACATTTGGCTAATGCATGTCACCTTCACATTTTAAAACAACATAATACTTCAGAAACAAACATTTTAAATAATTAAAACTCACACTCTTTAGTGATGTTGACTGCATTACTGAACTGTCCTGTTTCAGACTCACACCAGAACACTCCACTAAGCCAGCCTCTGGTTATTGTGCATGTGGATCCAGTCATTGTCCCCCAGATAGAACAGTGATAAAGGTAGTCAGGTTTAGAAAACATCCTCACTCTCCACTCAGTGGAGTTTCCCTCACAGCTCAGTGACACAGGCGTTTTGGTGAAGTGCTGCACACTGTCAGGACTCACTGTGAGAGACACTGCTGAGTTAATATCTGAAACACACAAAGAGGACAAACAAAGCATTTATGTATATTGAAGGCAACTTGAACATTACAAAAAAAACAAGAAGCATTTAATCAACAATAAAGAGTGAGTGTCTAATATGCATGTCATTAATTGTTGAGTTAATTTTTGAGAGAATTGCTGAATGTAAAGCATTTGGAGTTGTTTGTAAACTTTTTTGTAGAACATATCCAAAATATCCCAACACTCAAAAGAAATGGAGTCCTCCATTTAAAAGTTTAGGGGGCATAGAACAAGATAACATAGAAAGATGGATCGAAGAAAGAACATATATGAAACCTAATACAAACAATAAGAACAAAGCTATGGAGAGAATGAACCTGAACCACAGCTTCCAATTTATCTGATGCTTGTGTGAAGGAAAAGTTCCCAGAATAAGGGAATTCCTACCATTTTGCAATAATGGAGAAGTCAAAGCATACTGACCTCCAGACCAGACAAACTTAGGTTTGCTGTACCAACTGTAAAACACTGGATCTCCTCTTCCTGCTCTGCACACATATCCTGCTGTGTGTGTTTGTCCATCAATGATGAAGAGATCCTGTTCAGTCCCATTCTCGCTGTCAGCTAGCAGCTCATAGCTGTAGGAGTCGTAGGAGTTGTAGGAGTTGTATGACTTTTTGGGAACAGCCTTATACCAGTAGAAGCTCCAGCCAGCAGAAGGATGATCAACCCTGCAGTTCAGAGTTACTGAGGCTCCAGGACTCGGCCATGATGGAGACACAGTGAGGACAGGCTGAGGTCTTTCTGTTGGAAAGTGATTTCAATATACATTTATGATTTGTAATTAGTGGAAAACATGCACCCCTTGCATCCTACATATTTTCTACAAACATGTAAAACAAATGTGAAGGTGCACCATCCTTTAATATAATAACCAACATATTATAGATTATATGTTTATATACATATAGCAAAACAAATCTAATAATGACAAATGACTTACTGTCAGATAATGTGAGGACATCACTCCAATGCGTTGAAGGCATTTCACCTTTCAGTCTGCCCTTACACCCGTAGTCTCCACTTTGTGAGGTCAGAGTAAGTTTAGGATCAGATGTCGGAGGTGTTTCTGACCCAGGTGTCGTCCATATGTAATCCCACTCAGAGTCTCCTCCATCCTTAATTTCACATGTGATCGTTTCTCCAGAGTACATCTCAGGCCAGTTGGGTCGCAGGGTCACAACAGCCCTGTTTGTGACTGTTAGAGTAAGAAGCACAAAATACAAGAATAAATAAAAATAAACACATATAACATTCTTAGCGACCTTCTTAATCCTTACTTTCAAATATTATAATTTGTATTTTCTTTATGACATAATATTAGATGTTTAAATTACCGACTGCATCGCTGTACTCTGTGTAGTAAACAGGGTCTCCTCTTCTTCCTCTGCACCAGTAGACGCCTCCTCGTGAGACACTGATTTGGTCATTTGTGAGGAAAAAAACATCTTGTGTCTTCAGGGGTTCAGAGGTGTTCCCTTTTTTGTACCAGAAGTATCTCCAACCAGAAGCTGATGATGGACCTACAGAGCAAGTTAGAGTCACATTGCCCCCTCCTGGAGATATGTCTCTCAGCCGGGCCTTTGGTTTTGCTGTTTAATGTAGAATAAAGGTACAAATGTTTACAAAATGTTAGTTATTGTCCCTGTAAATAAGCCGAGCTTGACAAATAATACAAATGTATATTTTCTCCAGCAATCTTAGTAATATTCAATCACTGTGTATGCTATAATGAACATAATGAAAATATAGAGAAATAACTATGCTAATATTATATTTATAACCACTGAATTAGTTGGTTAACCTTATGTGGAAACGCACATAAAACGGGGTGAAAATGTCAAAAGCCTTTTTTTATTTGTTCATTGTCCAGTGTTTCTAAGACGATGCAGAAAATATTCTGTTTCATTTTGGGTTTACTAAATGTCTGAAGCTTTTAGGTATGAAAATTACTTACGTTCAGTTCTCAGTGTTCTTGGTTCAGATTCTTCGTTGCTAAATCTACAACTGTAAGAGCTCCCGTCTGACATTACTTGAACGGTGTTTTTTGCCATTAATGGTGACCGGTGGTTTCTGTCCGTTGTGATCAATGATCCGTCTCTGTAGAAGGAAGCATTCTCCTCTCTCTGAGTACGATGCCGACAGCGCAGAGTCACTGATTCTCCTTCAAACAAAGTGGACGCAGGACTTTCCAGGATCACGTTTTTTTCTGTGTCACACAAATGATTCATTATTATAGTAAAACAGTTCAATTAATACAACATTAGTACAAAGAAATACTTCCAGTTATGAAGAATACATTTTCACATTTCATGAAAAAGGAATACATTTTTACCTGCACCGTTTGATTAATTACTGTTAAGCACATTAAGGCGTATTCATTTCTAGAATATATTGGTCTTTCTTCATCATTTGTCACAATTAATAAAGTATAACAAGGTTTGTTGGTAAAGTATTATCTTTATGTGAATGCTTTGATATAAGTAGCTGATCCCTGTCAGTTGTTTTGTTCTTATTTTAATACTCTTGATTTTGTGATAACACAAAGCACAGGATTGTACTGTATTCTTCACCTGCCTATACATCATCAGTGGAGCTGTTCAAACATTAAAATAATTTACAGATTATATATTAGAACTTGTCCAAACTGCGTGTTCATATCAATATGGCTCATAAATAAAAAATGCTTTTATTGAACTTGGTCACGGTGGTATTCCTTTGATCACTTACCTGATATATATAGATGGATTGTATTGCTTGTCTTTGTTGATCCTCTGTTCTGAAACAAGCAACAATATTCACCACTGTAGCCTTTAGATAGAGGGTGTAATGTTCTGAAGTTTTGTTTGTTGGGAAGGAAAAGTTGTCTATGTTGGTGGTAGATTGAGTAAAACCAGTCGCTGTCTTCTCCTCCTGTAATGTCACACTTGAAGGTCACAGACTCTCCAGAAAAAAAAGCAGTCCAGTTTGGCTCAATGGTCAGCGCAGCATCTAGAAACCATCACAAGATACATAAAGTAAAATGTGTTTTCTTTTTGTCAAAACATTTATAATTCATTGACAAAACGGAACACACAAAACAGAGGATGTTGTTTGGAGAGTTACATAGGTAGATTTTTGCTTTACTTATATATTAGTAAACAACAAGAAAGAAAATTGTATAATCACCTTGAGCTTCTCCACGGTAAAGTAAATTCAGCACTGAAAGAAGTATGAAACTAAATCAGACATTATCAAACTGACAAAGATATCATCACCTCAGTCATTGAAGTTGTAACAACGGTAATTAAAACATTCAAAGTACTCACAGAGAAACCCCAGTAGAGAGAGCAAAGTGTGTCCCATCTTCACATCCAACACTGATAATCTGTTCCTCTGCTTCTGAGAAATTCTTCTACTTTGTGAAAATAGAAAGATCGAAACTGCAGCATGAAGAGAAATCAGGAACTACAGAGAAACAAATGCAATGTAATATTGGGAAAGGACGTTATTTTTAACTTCTTTACACGGTCTGGGCTTCCTTCCCGTTTACACAAAGCTCACACAACTGAACAGCTTCTAACACAGCACGTTATGTTTGTGCACCTTGGTTTAGGTATCCTCAAATAATGAAGAGACATAAGGTATTCAAATATACTTCCTGACGTAGATAAGATCATCCTGTGGGCTCATGCTTCGGCACAAATCAGTACTTATTGATGCTGCTATAAAGACTGCTGCATGAAGTGTCTTTTCTAGCACAAATTAAGTGATACAATTGTATGTGTCATACTCACTTTATAATCCATGGGCCTTCTCACCAATATTTCAAATGAAAATGTGTGTAACAGCTTTGACCAAATAGTTGAACTGGAGTGCTGGAGTGTTCTCGAGGAATTCCCTAACCCTTAGAAACAACCTCAAGTGAATGTGAAGAGAGACAAAGTCCTGCCCCCTCCTCGAGATAGACTCTATCTACTTTAAGGGGGC